TTCCCAGTTTGGTGTGTGTGTGTGTGTGTGTGTGTGTGTGTGTGTGTGTGTATGTGTGCTTGTGCAAAGGGAACAGATGTTTCTGTTGATTGTCTGATTGGCAACCTGCAAGTAGACCCCAAGGAACAACCTGCTCATTGCGGTTAGGGGCCATTAACCCTTTAAATAATGACATCTGTCACAATTTTCATACCTCATCCTGTCCTGGATCTTATCTCCGAACTGTACTCAACATGAATGCCCACGTTTCTTTAAATAGATTGACCCAATTTCCAATAGCTCTTCTCCGGTCACCATGAAGGTAGACTGTGTCAGGGCTGAGTAATTTAATACCTAACAATCCCTGAGTGCTCGTCATGTGTCCGGCACTGTATGAAGGTCTTTACAAGCAGCAGAGGTCACTGAGCCCACCCAAGAGCTCTGTGAGGTAAAGACTCCCCTTCTCCCACTTCACGGAGACAGAAACCGAGATGCTGAGAAGTTCAGTAATTCACACCCAGAAGAGGAAAGAAATGGAACTGGTACTTAGGGCTGTTTGACTTTTATGCCGCACTGACAGTTCTGACTTACATGGTTCAACTTTCGGTTTTGCAACTTTACGCTGACGTAAAATTATTTGCAGTTTTGACATACTTCAAAATTTGAATTTTGATCTTTTCCTGATACACAGTACACGAAATGTCCAACATTTCATTATAAAATAGCTTTTGTCAGGATTGACAGTGGTGCAGTGGTCAAATGTGATGTTCCGAGAGGCTGACCCCCATGGGAATATTCTGGGGTACACCAGGAACATGTAGGCCCCCGATCTGGGGCTGGCTGAGAAGGGGGATAAATTGCAGCATGAAGCCCCTCCCTCACTCATTCCCATGGAAGAAATAGATCAAGTTAAAAACAGTAGGAGTAGCAAACTCAAATGCTCTCAGGAATCAGTCAAGAACTGAAGAGAATAAGTCCCATTTTAGGGCATCCAAGTTCAAATCCTTAAAGCACATCATCAAACAAAACTCATTTTAGTGTCCATGTCACATGCTGAGTTTCCAGGTTGGGACCTTGTACAAGAGATTTTCCTGATCTAGAAACATATTTATAATGTTAAATGGAGGAAAAAACCCACTACTAATATGTATGATTTCGTGTTTTACAAAGATGGCATGTGTGTATAAATATTTGCACTTATACACATATAGAGTACCGATTAATTATATGTCTAGATAATAAATAGATAATAAATAAAATGTTTAGAAAATTTTCTGGAAGAATATGAAAAAGATTTGGATTGATTTGGCAAAATTCTTTGCTCACTTATACGTTTGATTCTTCTACAAATATCTATTAGTTGTGTAATTTTTTAATAAATAAGGTAGGAGAGGAATCTTAAAAACCGAAAAGCTGGAGCCAGCAGGTGGCATGGTGGTTAAGGCACTGGATTCCTACATGGCAGACCACAGTTCAAGTCTTGGACCTGATAGCTTGCTTTTTATTTATTTATTTTTTGGGAGAGGTTTTTTGCTATAGGGCGCATGCGCTCACCAGAAATCCAGAGAGACAGAGAGACAGAAAGCAAGAACTCGCCCCCCAGGGGGATGGCCACGCCACAGTCCATTCTCCTCTCAAGATCTTGGGCACGCATGCACACGCGCCTGGTGTGAGTTTAAGCCACTGGGTCCCGTACCCTAACTGCAGTCGGCTACATGGGAGTCCAGCGACATAGCCATTACGCCAACTGCGAGTTCCCAGGTCTGACAGCTTCCCTTCTCACTTTCCTTCTCTCTCTCTCTCTTTCTGTGTCTCTCTGGTGAGCATACCTGCCCTATAAACAAATGGAAACTAGTAATAATAATAATAAATAAATAATATTAAATAAATAATTTTTTAAAGAAGAAAAGAAAGAAAGAAAAACTTTGAGTGTAGTGTAAGAACATGTCCCTTGCGAGTTTCTGGCCATGATTGTTCAATGCAGCGTCATTTCTATGATTAAGAACAAAAAAGACATTCAGTATTAAGTAATCAATACTAAAGCCTAGAATTTCTACAAAAATGGATGTTGTTAATTTCTTAGCACACTGGCCAAGCTTCTAGCTCCTTTTCTCAATTTTTTTGTCTTTTGTTTTTCAATAAAGCTCTTCTAATAAAGGCCAGTCTTCCTTTTGCAGCTGGCCCGGTAGTGGTGTTTAAGGACTCCAGCTGACAGCTAGAGAAATCAATATCTGAAATCTATTTTGGGGGGGATTTATCCAGAATTAGACAAGAGCAGGACATTTGAACAGCTCTACCCCCTTTTCAATCAAGTCATAAAATCCTCCAAGATCATGTGTTTTCCTGAAAAAAATCTCCCTCTTGCTTCATCTTTGTGATTTTTGTGTTTTCTTTCCAGCATATTGGCACTATAATTTTTATTCTGTGTACAAGTCACTTTGAGCTTTTCCTCTGTGGTTTGCCAATCACTGGGTGACACTGGATTGTCTATCCATTTGGGAGGTGGAAGCCGGGTAATTTCCTGGAACCCTCACCTGCTGTCAGGGTCAGTCCCTGAGGTTCCTACCTCCGGCCTCCCTGCAGCCCCTTCTTACCAGCAGCGGAGTAAGCTAGCTAATGGCAGCCTTTCCACCGAAAGAGCTAAGAAGCCCCAGAGCTAACGAGGGCGCCTATGGTGCTTCTTGACATTGCAGTGGGCACCGGGATGAATGGAGAGGGGGGGTCCATTACAGCCAGGAAGAAGTCCCCCTTCAGAACATTCCTCTTTTCGGTCCCCACCACCCATGTCACGTACTGAATCTGTACGACATCAGGAACTCGTGTCTGGGCTCTGAATCCACCTTCATAAATGTAACTAAGTAGAACTCTTTGGGACTGCTGACGTGAGCTGAACCTTGCCCATTTAAGTGAAAAGCAAAGGGTGGCTAGAGTTTGGGGTCTGTGGGAGAAGTGTCTAGAATTCATCATGTAGGAAGGAAGGGGCTTAAATGAGTGTGGTGAATAATTTGGGCCTGCGTCGCTCCCAACGCCTGATCTCACAAAGAAAAGTTATCTTCAAGGCCTACCTCCTTACCTTGTGAACACTGTGGGGGAGACGGTGTTATTTTCTCTCTGGGGACTTCGAGTGACCAGCGTCTACACAGTCAGGGAATAGCAGTTATGGCAAACGGTGCCCTCTCTGTCTCACATCCTTCTCTCTCTGTGCTAGGAAGCTCCAGGATGAGAGCCACAAATATAAGCAAAATTTTCAGGACTGCCCACGTTGTTCTTAGCACAGAAAACCTGACTGGGAAAATAATCCTTACAGCATTAAAGGCCCTTACACATTTATTGTCACCAGCAGGAGGGTGGGTGGTTGTGCAGCCCCATTTTGGTGCTCAGTAAGTGTCATTTTAGAGGCTTTGGGAGCTGACCCAAGACCTGGTGGCTAAGGCCGCTAGATCCCCCATGGTCGCATGGGCTGTTCAAGTTCTGGACCAAGTGACTTGAGAAACATGCATTTTAGACATGTGTGCATATGTGCCCAAAATCTTGAAAGGAGGGAGAAACAGAGGAAAAGGGATTACAGCATGACCATTCCACCATTTCTCTCTCTCTCTCTCTCTGTCTCTCCTCTCTCCCTCTCCACTCTCTTTCTCCCTGCCTCTGGCAAGCACACATGCCCTCTGGCCAAAAAAAAAAAAAAAAAGGCAAAACAAAAGGCTTTGAAGTGGTCTTGTCTTTGTTTATAGAAAACTCCATATTTGGCAAGACGATGGAATTCATAATTTGTTTTTTCAAACAAACATATCCATTGAACAGGACGGTGTGGCAGCAGTACTATGAGATGCTCTGGGAGACTGACTCACATGGGAAGGTTCTTGGTTCGTGTCCAGAGACTTCCCTGCCTGTGCTGGGCTACGCATGCCTGTGATTCAGAGGTGGCTCAGCTAGGTCTTGGTGTCAAGACCCTATTTGGAGGGTTGGCAGGTGGTGTGGTGGTTAAGGTGCTGGACTCCCACATGGCTGACCATGGTTTGAGTCCTAGCTCTGGCAGCTTGCTTTTACTTTCTCATTCTCTCTCTCTCTCTCTGGTCAAATTAAAAAATAATACCATATAAAATTAAATTAAAATAAATTTTTAAAAAACATATCCCATTGGGCCAGCAGGTTATGTGGCACTGGACTCTCACATGGCTGACCACAGTTCAAGTCCTGGACCTGGCAGCTTGCTTTCTCACTTTCTCTCTCTCTGTGTGTCTCTCTGATCAAATTAAAATAAATGAATAAATAAGTAAAATTAGATAATTATTTTTTAAAAAAACTATTTAGGGGCTGAATGGATTAAAAATCAGAAAATTGGGACCAGCAGTTAGTGTAATGGCTATGTCGCTGGACTCCCACATAGTCCACCGTGGTTTGCATCCTGGACCCGGTGGCTTAAAACTCACACTGGGCGAGTGTGCATGCATGCCCAAGATCCCGAGAGGAGAATGGAGGAGAAGGGATTGCAGCGTGGCCATCCCCCCTGGGGGGTGATTTCTTGCTTGGTCCCTCTCTGTCTATCTGGCTAGAGCACGCGCCCTATAGCAAAAACCTCTCCAAAAAAAAAGAAAAAAACTATTTAGGGTGCTGAGTCTCTGTTTCTCTCTCTTTTACTCACAGAAGAAATAAACTTAAAAAAAAATTCATATTCATAAGGGTGTAACAGCACCTGCAGTCTTGAATCTAAAGTCCAGTGAAGCTATATGGGGTGTGTGTGTGTGTGTGTGTGTGTGTGTGTGTGGATTTAAGATCCGAACTTCTTCAAAGAATCTATCCCAGAGTATTTGCTCAAACAGGACCCCCTGGCGGTGTTTCCAGCAGCCAGTTAAGGTTCTCCTTAGAGAGGAACTATTTGAGTTTAGTCTTTGGACTCAGCTCAAATCCAGGCTCAGCCACTTGACCACCGTGTATCCTCAGATGTCATTCACCTCTCTGAACTTAACGTGGCTTTTGTGAAAGGAGAGCAATTATGTCTAGCTCAGAGAATTGTTGAGCTAATGAGGTAAGGTGGGGGATGTGTCAGGCCTCAGGGCTGTGGCTACACCCCCCCTTCTCCCCCCCCCCCCTCAGGTGCAAACACTGTTCCTCGGACAGAGTGAGTCGGCCCTGTGGAGTCGGCGCGGGGTTCCAGCGGGCCCAGCGGGTGTAGCTGCTTTCCGAGTGTGCACCCACCCTTCCTGGCTACCCAGAGGCAGAGGAGCTTGGCCTGAGGCACACAGCAATGCCAGGCGTCTGGCTCCAGCTGGGGCAAGGACGAGGTTGCAGTTGCTCTAACATCTCTGCAACCTCTGATTTTAACCCTTCTTCCCCAACAGAGACATGAAGCTCTGGCATGGCATAGCGATTGCAGCGGTGTCCCTTCTCCTCCAGACCTGTCTCCTCGCAGTCATCAGCTACCTGCTCAGCAGGCACATGGGTAACTGGCTCAGCATCCTCCCCTAGGTAACCCCAGGGACATGCCTGAGCCTGCAGCAGAGTGAGACCCCTTTGGAACCCCCACTTAGAAACCTACCTGAGGATGCTCTGGCCAGACCTTTCCTAATCCTGCCCACCTGTAACAGTCAGTCTGATCCACCTTTTACCCAAGCTATTTCTGGGTCCTATCCCGACCCAGACCTTGATAGACAACCTTGGCAATGCGTGTGAGGAAGGGCTCGTTCGACCTGGGCCTGTTAATCTTCCGCATTGCTGCTGGAGGACTGAACATAAAGAGATGGCCTTGAGTTGCACCAGACGAAGTGTGGTTAGACTCAGAGATGAGGTTCAGTTCTTGAACTGATTTACAGCAGGAAGCGGAGGAACCGTCCCGGGCAGGCATACCAACTGAAGGAAATACCAGCCCTGTGCTGGGGACTGGGCAGAACGCGTTCTCAGGCTCTGTTTGCTTGCTTGTTTGGTTTAGTAAAGGCAGTCTAGACGTCTCCACTCACTCGGGCTCGTTCGACCTGGACCTGTTAATCTTCCGCATTGCTGCTGGAGGACTGAACATAAAGAGATGGCCTTGAGTTGCACCAGACGAAGTGTGGTTAGACTCAGAGATGAGGTTCAGTTCTTGAACTGATTTACAGCAGGAAGCGGAGGAACCATCCCGGGCAGGCATACCAACTGAAGGAAATGCCAGCCCTGTGCTGGGGATTGGGCAGAACGCATTCTCAGGCTCTGTTTGTTTGCTTGTTTGGTTTAGTAAAGGCAGTCTAGAGGTCTCCACTCACTCAGTCACACACTCAGCATTTATTTATTTAGCACCAACGCCATTCTCTTGACCCAGACTGTAAAACAGAGAACAAAACCAGAACTCCTGCGTATGGAATGTCCATTCCATAAGGGGGTATAGACAGCAAACAAGATCAATACGTAAAATGCATGTATGTCGGAGTATAATACGTGCCAGAGAGGAAAATGGAGCCAAGGGGATGGGGAGTCAGGGGTGACCTGCTTTCCTGAGATGCTGGCATGAGTACGTGCCTGCAGGAAGTGGGGATCGAGCCGCACCTGCAAAGGCCCAAAGGCAGGGGGG